TGACGCATGGCGCCAAGGTGCATAATGTTTTATTCGCTAATTGAGGTCTTTTCTCATGTGGTTTGAGAAATAGGGGTCAACAATCCACAATAGGAAAGAAGGCAATCAAGCAAGATTGACTCCAATCAAGAGCAAAAGGGGAAGGGGCGGCGGGCAAAGAGAGAAGGGGCCGGTTATGGGAGGAAAGGAAAAGGAAATTAATCAAGTCTTCAATTAAGGGAGAAGGGATTTAATCAAATACAATTCCAAATTGATTGGAATTTGATTTGAAGAATTTTTCAAAAATAGATCTAGTAATTTAGGAAAGGTTTTGAATTTGAAACTAATTGGATTTGAATTCAAAATTCTTTTCAAATTATCTTCAACCTAATTTAGGAAAATGAAGGGGAATGAAGGAGGGAAGAGGAAAGGGGTGAGGTGATATGGATAAAGTGGAGGCGGCTTGTGGCTTTGGAGGGGTTTGTGGAAGAATCGGTTGGTGGCAACTGGCAAGTGGGGGATTTTGGTCGCGTGGTCAAGGGAGGAGAAAAAAATGGATTTAGGGAAAGGAAGATACAACTGTGAGCACGGACACATCCTGCAGTTGACGTGTAATATGTTTCCCTTCTCTAAGGGACTTCAAGCCACAAGCCCAAACCCATCCTGCAACTAGTTGAAGCTCCGATTCCCTCCCATAGAAATCTCACCCAAGTTTTCTCCAAAGAACACAAGTGCAAACTTTTTTTTTATTAAAATCCATCATACAATCACACTAGCAAGGACCTCTATTTAGGCCTTAGAAATAAATAAATAAAATAATACGATCATGCCCCTAGGGCTTACATAAGATTAGACCCTTAAGGGTAAAAACAAAAATGCATAATTAAAATAAAATTACAAATAAAAATTTAAGATAACGTAGGACGATCACGGTCGTCGATCTTTAGCTCCTCAAATCGGCATGGACGGTTGGATGTCCGCATCATTCTCCCAGGGTGAAAAAGAGCTCGACTCTGACGAGTTTGCATCCCGGGTGAGCAACCTGGCTCTGATACCAAAATGATGTAGCACAGATGGGGTGGGGGGGGGGGAATTTGAAATTGAAATTAAAATTAAATGAGAAGGGGTGGTTAATTAAATCCCATAATTCGATATCCAATTAAGTAATTAAATAACTAGGGGGGGAGGGGCCGACGACGTTAAGAGGGGCTTGAGAGTTTATGGAGAGAGATTTAAATGCTTGCCAAGTAGGGAACCTTAAATTAAATCAAATCCTATTTGAATTTGAAATATGTTTGATTTGAATACTTTCCTAAAATAAGATAACTAAATTAGAGAAAGGATTTTAAATTTAAATACATTTAAATTTAAATTCAAATGCTTTTCATATTAAAACACATTCACAATAGGAAAGAAGGCTATCAAGCAAGATTGACTCCAATCAAGAGCAAAAGGGGAAAGGGAGGCGGGCATAGAGAGAAGGTGCCGGTTATGGGAGGAAAGGAAAAGGAAATTAATCAAGTCTTCAATTAAGGGAGAAAGAATTTAATCAAATACAATTCCAAATTGATTGGAATTTAATTCAAAGAACTTTCCAAAAATAGATCTAGTAATTTAGGAAAGGTTTTGAATTTCAAACTAATTGGATTTGAATTCAAAATTCTTTTCAAATTATCTTCAACCTAACTTAGAAAAACGAAGGGGAATAAAGGAGGGAAGAGGCTAGGGACCGTGATTGTCAATATCCTTCACCCATTCCTCAACCTAATTGATCATACTATGTGACCTCTATTCCTCGGAGCATCCTTCTGAATAGGGATCCGTCTACACCTTTGGTGCCAAGAATGTAGTGGTCGAGTGGTAGGAGACTCCCAAACTACTACTATAACTACTCTCCAACGAGTTTTTTTTATCCTCCATTAGCTAGGCTAGCTCTATAGCCTCTCCTGAGCCATGTAGTCTCAATACTCGAACAGTTGCTCGATTATTAGTCTTGAGCCCCTTCATAAAGTTCCCCTCTAGCATAGTCTCTAATAGCCTTCTCAATCGGCTCGAGAAGTACTCGAATTTCTCCTGGAACTTATCATTATTCCCTCCTATACCAAAATAAAGAACTATTCATAGAAGTCTCCTTCTCGATTGATTCAAAAATATTCTAGTAGACAATCTTTGAACTCCCACCATGACCAGATCGGATCGGATCTCGCAACTCTCTCCACCAATACCAGGGCAGAGCCTTCATTTCCAGACATAGAGTGGTTGTGGCGAGTTTTTCATCTTTTGTCAACTCATTACAACAAAATATCGCTCCACCCTATAAATCCACCCATGAACATCTTCTCCCTAAAAAATGACATCTTCAACTTTCTCACCCTAGGATCGACAACTCCCCTAAATCGGCTCTCTGATCTTCATCATTCTAATTTCTTCGCCAGTCATATCCTTCACCCATTCCTCTCGAAGTGCCTCCAAAGGTGGCATCTCTTCTTCCTCCAAAATTTTCACCTCCTGATCCTCCCTCATCATCCCTATATTAGGGTTTCCCCCACTTCCTTATCCCATCAACGATGCCCTTGCCTCCGATGATGTCGTTTTGGCTTGAAACTCTAACAGCATTTCATCTTTTTCATATTAAAAAATATGCCCTTAATTGTTAAAATTCGCTCTCTAAATTCAGATTTCAAATTTCCAACTTCACCATCAAGCCTCTCCTCCAATGCATCAACCTTCTTAGCCACTATAGGTCCCAAAAAAGGTGCTATGATACCAATTTGATAGAAATTCGATCTCCACACATCAATAACGAAGAGAAAATGTAACATATATCAACGAGAAAGAATGAGATTATGGGCTAATTTATTTTTATATCTGCACAACAAACCAAGATGCAAGTTGATCTACTATTATAGAGGTAGATCGACTCTCCCCAAACCTTAGGCGCACTAGGAACAACTTCAAAGAGAACTACAGTAAAAACACAAATCACATAATGAAAATAAAACAACTTAATAAATCCTAAATAAGCCTTCTTAATTCCCTCCCAAATCAAAATTCAAATCAACCCCCTTTCCTTAAATGAACCTTTCTAATTATCTCCCAAATCTGAATTCAAATCAATCCTCTTTCCCTAAATAATCATTCTTAATTCTCTCCTAAATCTGAATTCAAATCAAACCTTTCGCTAATTTTTTTTTTCTTTTTCTACACACAAAAAAAAAGATTTTCTATGGTAAATAATTAAAGGTAGAATTAATCCCCTTTGAGCACCCCCTCTCTCCTTACCCGCCGTCCACACTAGTGAGGCCCATAGGGCTCTTCCGCCCATCAGCTAGATCAGATCCCACAGCTGAGGTCGGGTTGATTGGCTGTACTGGCTCAGCTGGTCCATCAGAATCATAGAAAATGCTCATATCAATAAGAAAGTTGAAGATATAACTAAGTACTAATGAATTGTCATTACAAATGACAACATTCATGGAAATGGCTCCACTATCTCATGACATTCAATTAGATTTCTAATAGAACTTAGTTTTAGAAAAAAATATTGATGGCTACTAACTACAATGAAGCAACAAGATTTCCTGCCGAGGGTCGGACCAAGGGTCATCATCATGCCCTACCATTGTGTACTTAAATCAGCTGAAACAACACTAACATCAAATGCCGCTATACACAGCATAATAGCCTGATAGAAGGATTCAAAATGCCTGACAATCATACCCTTTGATTCAATTCATAAAATCCAATGCACAACAACAACAACAACACCAAGCCTTTGTCCCACTACGTGGGGTCGGCTACATGAATCCTTTTTCGCCATTGTGTCCGGTTAAAAGTCAAATTCTCATCTAAATCTAATAAAGAAATATCATTTCTAATATTTTCTAACCAAGTCTTTTTAGGTCTACCTCTACCTTTCTTAACATAAGCCAAATCTAATACCTCAACTTTCCTAACCGGGTCATCGGAAGGCCTCCTTTAATGTGACCAAACCATCTAAGGCGACTCTCTCTAATCTTATCTTCCACTGGAGCTACTCCAATCTTTTCACGTACATGCTCATTTCGTATCCTATCTCTAAGGGTCAAGCCACTCACCCACCTAAGCATCCTCATCTCTGCAACACTTAACTTAGTATTATGCTTCCCTTTTAATGGCCAACATTCGGCACCATAAAATCCAATGTACAGAGCAAAAAAAATTAAATATTAATATTGCGTAGTTTCATAGTTTAATATTGCAAAAATATATATAAAACGCAATGCATTCACACTTCATAAACTGGGAAACCAAATATTCTCAATCACATTAATGAGCATGCCTCAACTGTAAATGAAATCTTCTGCCAATTAAACATTATAGAGGTTTTATGGTTTTTACAAAATTAACGTAGGACTACAACATGTGATACAATTTATAGAGATTTGTAACATTTGAATGACTATTATCTTTGGCAGCAAAAAAAAAGAAAATAGAAGGTCATACACGTGGATAAGAAAAACCATAAAATCCAGTAAAAAGAAAATTAAAATATGAAGTGACTGAGATCATGATAATTATTGGCCTTATCAAAGTACTTAGGGTCGGCCAATAATCCATGCATTAATTTAATGAGGGATTAGCCACACAACTTAGCAATCATTTGTTAATGTGAGAAAGAGGAAGTAGTTTCCATCAATTTACTCTATGAGCCACCATGATTAACCTATTTTAAATGTCACTTCATGTGTAACAGTGCTTCCAAATAAAATAAAGAAGTTGAAAGCATAAAATAAGGAAAATCTAGTGACTGAATAGATGTGCTATGCTACCAATTCTCCTGCAAATAAAATAAACGGTGTATAGTTAATTAGCACACGATGTAACTCCATGTGAAATACCCAACAAAAATGCTTGAGAATTGAACTATGACGCAAAAGAAAACAAACAAGAAACTTATAAAGAAATGCATGCCAAATCTTCTGATAATATAGACTAAATATGGAAAAAAAAGGAACCAAGCACTAGATTTAGAAGCATACTGGGCCAGCACTAGATCGGTCAAGGGTAATGGCAAAGTACATCTCATTTACAAGGGATAACTTCTCGCACAGATACACCTGTGAAAGAATGAATTGATATTTTAGAACAAAAGATTAATAGAATTGAATAATTCTCTTATATTTCATCGATGCATACAAAGAATTAAAGTATTTAATACATAAGGCATGCATAACAATAAAAATTTGATGAAAGCGACTTAGGTAAGCACCATAAATAACACAAATATTTTTATTTAAACCATCATACTTTTACCAGTAGAAATTTCTTTGAAGAATATTACTAAAATTACAAACTTAAACTACTTCTGATAGGACCATAAAACTTAATAATCTATTAAATGAATTGTAATTTGTCATCTTCTATTCCGAGGGTGTTCCCAAAAGTTGAGTTATGACTTTAGTCAATTGTGGTGAGCAGTGGAAAAATTCTCATAAAGAAGAATAAAAGGGACTTTAATTGTCCAACATGGACTGACTGTTGCGGCAATAGCATATAAAATTAAAATAAAATTATTCATGTGAACAAGAATAATGATAGGGTGATTGCTATTAGTACAAAACTATTTGTCATCAAATTAAATTTAAGAAAAAACAACTTGACCTCCATAATTCAAGTTTACCTTCAACTCCCTCTCTAGTCTTATCAACAAGAAGAATATCATCAGCAAAAAGCATACACCAAGGTACATCCTCTTACAAACAACAAGTACATACATGGAAAATATAATTATTATCGGTGACCTGACATGTAGATTATATTAGGAAGAGCTTATGAGAGGACTAATGATAATCATGAAACATATCAAATAAGTTTAAGAGAGAAGCTATGTTTACTTCTGCAAAATCATACAAACCATATCTTAAGAAAAAAAAACAACTGAAGACTTTCAAAGTGGATTTATTAAATCATAAATAGAGTTCATTTTCACATAAAAGAAATAAAAATCTTTTTCGTAAACAATATAAAGAGATAATATGAAAAATTTTTACTAAACATAAGAGCATAGTTATTTCAATTTGCATGTATATGTGTGTGCCTCATCCAACTACTTGGGGTCATTGTAGACATATAAAGATGTTTTTAAGTAAATACTTGTCATGTTATAAGATGGTGGAAATTAAATTATTCTTAGTGAATATTCAAAAGTGATTGTTAAGGAATGTAAATAGGATCTTGTGAGTTAAATCAAACTTTCTATCTTAAAATAAGCAAATCGCATTACAAAGACTGTTATAGAAACTCTAGGAAAGTATAGAAATCAGGGTTGGAAGCGAACTAAGTGTTCGACGAGCTACTCGTAGATTGGTTCGATTAAATATCATTCGTGATCGTTTAATTAACTAAACAAACAAACTTGAACATTTTTTTAAATACTCGATCCTTAAAAAAATGAGTTTGAACAATAATGTGTTAGACTCATTTATGTCAATAAACAACATCATTTGAAGCTCGTGAACAAACTCGATTCATGTTTGATTCACAACTGATGAATAAGCCCGTTAAAAACTCGATTAATATTTGATTATAAAATTAATAAACATACATAATATAAATATTTTATATTTATTATAACATAATGATATAATAATTGTTAATTAATAACTTTTATAAATTTGATGAACAAGAGACATTTATTCATATTTGCTAGATTGTTTGTTTAAAATTTTTATGAAAAATATAAGATGAATCATAGATCGTTTGTTCATAAAAGAGCTCATTTGGTAGCTCGAAAATAGTAATTAAATATGTTCATGAACTTGCTCATTTGATAGCTAAAGAATACCCATTAGATATGTCTGTGAACGAACATGTTTTTAGTTTAAAAAATTTTGCTAGATATATTCACGAACATGCTCAACGTAATTGTTTATTAGAAGGCTCGATAATGCTCGTTCGTTAAGAATGAATATCTAGAAGTAGAGCTCGTTTATAGCTTGATAAGGCTAGTTTGTTTAAAGCTCGATAAACACGAAATGAACTGAACATGAATCAAACATGAACACCCATTAAATTAAACGAACCAATCTTGAATATAAACAAAAAAAACTTGAATCGAACTCGAACCGAACTTGAACAAGCTGATAATAGACAAACTCAAACATGAACACGAACATACTCTGCTCGGCTTGATTCGTTTGCAACCCTAATAGAAATCAATCAAACATGAGGAGACTTTATAGTGGAGTTGGAGGCCCAAAACGTTATTAAGAATAAAGAAATGATTATGAGGGTGCACTGACTAATATTGAAGGTCTACTTAGACAAGCAAATAATTTGGATTGCATCAAGTCAATATTAAGTCCACAACTCCACATCCTTTTGTGGTGATTATGGAGATGTTTATAAACATATTCCGAATGAGATATCTTATAGTGTGCTATTTGAAAATGACATAATTCTGATATGGAACTTCTTTTGAAATGATAATTTACACCAATGGAGGAAATTATATAAAATAAGTTATTTAAGATTATTAAAAAAAAATTGATTGAGATGCATTTTTAATGGAAGCGAAAAAAGCAGTTATTATCAAAAATCGTTGCAAGATCAAGTGATATTAGGTTAACAGGTTTAAGCAACTAAAATCTACAATACAAGGGTATTTTGTATAAAATTGTCAAAATACTTTGTCCATTTTCCGGAAAACAGAAAAATTTACAGGCATTGGTAAATACATCAGCAAAGTTTTATATATTTTAAAATACAAATACTTAACCTAATTAACTTAAAATTAAATTTAATTACAGCTTTAACTACCCCTTCACATTCTTGTTTATTATTGGCATTGACAAGTGATTGTCAACATTGATGCTAGCTAGCACCTAAGATCTATAATACAAGGGTATTTAGTTGTCAATACTTAGTCTTTTTTATGGAAAAGGGAAAAAATTTTAGGCTTTGGTAAATACATCACCAATTTTTATGTCTTTTAAAACAGGGATACTTAACTTAATTCTTATGATTAAATTTAATTGCAGCTGTAACTACCTTCTCACATTCATGTTTATTCTTGGCATTGAGACAAAGCTGTTAGCGTTGATAAGAGACTATCAACATTGATGCTAGCTAGCACCGCATTTGCAAGAATGCAAGCACATGAGCACTAGAGCTTGTAACCAACACAATCTCTTCTTATTGGCCAATAGCTTGTGGGTGCAAGCAAGAGCTAGCTCAAGCATGCACCATCACCTAAAGGCTTGCAAGCATATGCGCCAATTCAAGCTAAGGCTAGGAAGCCATCATCAGCATTGACACGAGTTTAGTGTTGCTGAGATCTTTTTCAATTGATAAAAGAAAATAAGTACAAAAAACCTAGCTTGGGTTGTCACAAACCTAGCTTGAGTTTTTAGAAACCCATACATCTTTTCTTGGATGGACAAAAACATAGGTTTCTATTAAACCTCACATAAATGCTTGGAATTCAAGGAAAAAAAGAAAGAAATATTAGCATCAACACTATAGTTGTCCCCAACACAATAAGAATGCTTTGTTGCAAGAAACACAAGAATGCATGTTTAGTTTTCAAGAAAAAAATGGCAGCATACCATAGTTGACTAGTTGCCATAAATCCAAACATGAATGCTTAGATTTAAAAAAGGCAATAATACTTAGATTGTCACAAACCCAATAATGATGCTATGATTATAAGAAACCATGCAAACATCATACTTTTTTGAGGGATGAGAGAGCAATATTTAGAATGGCTTTCTTCATTTTTGAAGCATTTTAGTTTTTATTTTATTTTATTTAAACCTTTCTATTGGGATGAGAAGAGGTGGTCATCATAAAAAAAACTTGAATTATGGAGGTCAACCCTAGAGTCTAAAGGTTTTCGCTTGAGTAGATCTAAAACTGAATATATGGAGTGTAATTTTAGTAGTAATAGACCTAGTAGGGGGATTGTGACTTTGGGCGATCAAGTCATTAATAAGAGTACACGTTTTATATATCTTGAATCTATTGTTCATAGCGATGGTGAAATAGATGGCGATATTATCAGTAGAATTCAAGTTGGATGATTGAAGTGGAAGAATGCATCGGGCTTGTTGTGTGATAGAAAAGTCCCCCTCAAACTTAAGGGAAAATTCTATAAGATGGTGATGAGACCTACAATGATTTATGGTGCAGAATATTGGCTAATAAAAGAGAAGCATAATACTAAGTTAAGTATTGCAGAGATGAGGATGGTGAGTGAATTTACCCTTCGAGGCAGGATACAAAATGAGCATATAGGTGAAAAGGTCGGAGTAGCTCCAATGGAAGATAAGATTAGAGAGAGACGCCTTAGATGGTTTGGTCACATAAAACGACGGCTTTCCGATGACCCGATTAGGAAAGTAGAGATATTAGATTTGACTTATATGGAGAAAGGTAGAGGTAGACCTAAAAAGACTTGGTTAGAAAATATTAGAAATGATATTTATTTATTAGGTTTAAACGAGAATTTGACTTTTAACATGACATAATGGAGAAAAGGGATTCATGTAGCCAACCCCACATAGTGGGACAAAGGCTTGATGTTGTTGTTGTTGTTGTTTAAAATATACTTATGCCCATATATTAAGGGAAATGGGGAAAAAGAAATCTTCTCTTTTGAAAGGCATTAGTTGAGGTGATATCAAGTAGCATATGAGTGAGAGCCAACCTTGATTCAAATAAATCATTTTGATTTCAACTCTAATTACTTAATAGTCGAGTTGAAAGCGATCAATTTCATGCCAACTTTCAAGCCCCAAACACACACACACATGCATTAAAAGGTCATGGTCATGAGAAACACTACAATTCTTTACGAGTAATACTTCTCATTGTCACCTTCCTTAATACCCAACACATCCCATCATTATGTGGCACTTAGCTTTTCCTTTTTATGATTTATAATTCTATAACAAACATGGAATAAAAAGTGAGAAGAGTGCTTCATCTGAAATAAAACTATCTCAAAGTATTGATATTTTTATGATTATGAAGCATTATTTATGATGTAAAAGATTGGCAATCTCATTGGGAAGAAAAATAATAAAAATCTGAAAAGCCGCTCTAGTCTCTAATGTCAAATCTTTATTTTTAAGAAAAAAAAACTCCCCCCAATCTGCTCTCTCAGTCTCTCTCACGTACTAGTACTTTCAAATATCCACAATAATATAAAAATAGTTGATAAAATTAATTTTGTATTTAGTATTTACAAAACTCAATTATATTCTTAAGCATAATTATTTTTCAAAATAATGCTCTTTGAACTTGTGATCCTTAAATTTTAATTGATCCACATTGACTTGATAGTCTATGTAGGCAATTGAATTTGTTTGTGGATGTGGCATAGCCCATAAACTTGATAGCTTAAATATTTTCTTAGGGGCTGTTTGGTTGCCTAAAAAAGGAATGCAGTGTAAAAAAAATACAGTGTAAAAGAATACTTCAGAGTTGCTTGGATAATTGTAAAAGGAATGCATGAGTTTTTTTTTTCTTTTTTTTTTTTGAAGTAAAATGCAAAAAGGTTGTGGTCATAGTGGCCGGGGTGACTGGCGGGTGGCCAATGGTCGGTGGACAGCGGCAGAGGAGGCGGCCGGCGATGAGTTTTCGATGTATTTGGAAATTGCCCAAATATGAGGAATTTCAAATACACTAGATTTGAACTAGTGTGAATTCATTTTACTTCAAAATTTTACTCCACATTCCTTTTACTTCAAACCAAACACCAATATTTTCAAAACCCCTGCATTTGAAATTTTTTACACCCCTTCTGCAGCAAACCAAATAGCCCCTTAGTCAACAAAAGAACAAACATGGAAAAACCTTGACCAACAAAGGCTATCAAACTACGCAATCCTAATCGGTTAAGAAATTATTTGGCCAATAAAATCAATCATTCTTGTCACAACTCCAAAAAAGAGAGATTGGCTAACATAGACCACCACATCTAGTTCAGTTGTTTCATGTTAAAGGCTTTTTGTCATAAGAAAAAACTACTTTTCCTTGTGAGAGACACTTCATAATCCTACTTTTATTGCACTCACTAAACCCCAAGCTTATTAGCACTTGCTTTTTTTTTTTCTTTTTTATGGTGTATTGTGGCACAATAAACAAAAATATAAGAAATGCACCAAATTATCATATAGACTTCATAAGCTTTTTTTATATGTTCATCCAAGCATTGCATGGGTTTTCTACTTATGTATATTTGAGCGCTAGAAAATAAAGAAACTCGTATAACTGTTGACCTGTACAAAAAAAAAAATCAAAATCCCTTACCTCTCTGCCGAAGTACGTCGCTCCCCACGTCGCACGCACGTCGTGGCTGCCATCCCATGATCTCCCCACGACTTGGCACGACGAGCTCGCGTCGTTAAAAGCCAACGAAGAAGAGGCCTTCGGCCTCCTCTCGAGATCTCGCTCGCTCTCTCCCGCGATCCTTCTCCGACTCCTGCGTGCCGCCCGACTCGGCTCACCCCAACGACTCTCCCTTCTGTCGGATCGGATATATATATATATATATATATATATATATATAAGATGCCAAACAGAAAACTTTATAAAATAGTAAGTCCGCATTGCTATATGTACAGATCAACTTGAAATAAAAAATGAGGCATACCAATATATAATGTTGTGAAGAACATAAGCAGATAGCTATGTTAAACTACTACTATTGCGATGTTCATGCGTGGCCCGAAGATACTAATAGCAATCAATATGGGCAAACAGTTAGAGAATCATGATGATGACAAGAGGATAAACAAATTGGGATGATGAGGGTGGTCAATATGTGGAGATAAGAAGGAAAGAACAAAAGAAAAAGGATAAACCGCATCTTTATGATAGTAGCAAATTCAGCAATGACTAATTCTACAAGCCTGACGACAGTTTCAATTCAATCTCAAAAGCTCATATATATATAAAATTTCATACAACACTTCATCTGCTAGGGCTACAAGTAAAAAATACAAAACTCATTATTTATGAGGTAAATTTTATAAACATTTAAGGTAAACACTTGATTTAAAGCCATTTTATTAACATAACCATCATGCATCAAAGAGGTAGACCTCATCACATCTACAAAATTTCTTTTGAGGAAAATTTGTTCAAGGAACAAATCAAAGGCTAACTGAATATAGCAAGAAATGCAACACATCTTCCAAAATACTGCAATAAGTTTGATTAATGAAATTTTAGCAAATTATTAATGATACTTTCAATAAAAAAATTTATTCATTAGAGACATCACATGTTGACGTCTTTGCCATGTCATGTTCCAATTTATTAAGATTTGCTTCATCCATATACTTGTGTCCAGAATTTTTCATGTCTGTTGACCATTTCAAACAAAGCATTTGTTTCATGAAACAGAGGTTGCATGGTTAACCTGGCTAGACTACCGAAGAAGGATTATGTTATTAATAAATAAATGTTGGGTTGTCTAACAAATTAATCTAACACTTGAGGCTAAAGTAAGAATGCAACTTGATTGAAATCTAAATTTAATAATGTATTTGCAATATAGAGTACATCAGAAATAGAAAAATTCCGAAGAAAGCATTTAAATTAATCTGATATTATCGTTGCTAACAGCTTAGAATGTCAATTAGTAGTTCCATCTGAATTTTTTTAATGTAACTAAGATTACATTATCAGAAGGATTTATAAATGGAAAAGAGGAAAAGTTTTACAGATTATGTCCAAATTCTAACAGCAGAAATGGAACATCATAGCTAACCTTGCTCACAATTTTCCCCTGGGGACCAGTTTGCTTGGTAACAAGAATTTGCCCAAGCATCTTACCTGAAACAGAAGGAAAGGAGTTATAATGCAATAAGAAAAATTTTCTACCAGTTTAGTTCACAAATTTCTAGTTGTAAATTTCCATGAATACTTTAGAAACAACAAACAACCATAAATTCTATTCTCTTAAAATCCTAAAAGCATTGTTCTATGCACAACTAAAGGAAAAATAAGATCGATGACCCTCAAGAGGCAAATGATCAACTATCACAAAAATTGATTTGGTGGGCAATACAAAGAAAAGACAAAGGTACGAAAATTACTACGGATATGCTGACAAAGCAATGCTTAGCATTAAAAGTAATTATGGAGTGGAAAAAAAAATCAGATCGCAATCGAGCCACATAAATAATCACCCTTAAGACTATGATTTGGATTATTTATGAAAAAACTCACAAAAAATAATTTGTTAACTACAAATAGTACTGTTCTATAGATGAGAATTCTTCTTAAATAAAAGGATAGCGACAGCAAATGGAGAAAAGTGCTAGCAAATAAGAGGTTCCTAATTAAAAGGACAAAAACTGAGCTCATAATATTAAAGTTTAGTGGAAGAAAAATTGCTAATGACAGTTGATGATGCTAAAAGATCACACAATGCCTAAGGTGATAATTTTAGGTAGTTTGGATATGTTAGAGGGTATGGAATAAAGGATATAATTTTAAAGTTCACACTCAATGGTTAAAATAGCGAAGTGCCTTAAGGATATCAAGTAATAAGATAATATCATGGAGCTTTGGAGATAAATTTTATAGAGTTGTAATTTAATTGACTACTCCACATAGATCCAAGTGCTGTGCAACAAAGAAGTCACTAACAACCAAGTTGAGAGTGGCAAAAATTAGAAAGTTAAGATGGAAATGCGAAGAACTTAGGAAGTGTGCAGGAAAAAAAAAAAGAATACCAAGATCGCATCTATTTTTTGAAGCCCATTCGAACATACAATTCCCATGGACGACCAAGCAGATGATTCCTTACAACTAAATTCTATTTTTTCTGATGCTTGTAAGAAATATATGATGTAACAGTAGCTTCTTTACCACTGTCCAGTACTGATGTTTCTATAAATAGAGGTGATAACTACACATATGCAGGAATCAGTCCAGCCTAAATGTTAACCACAAGGGCATAGTAAAGGACAAGAAAAGTTAGCAGAACTACCCCAATAATAAGTTGCAAAAGATCCATTTTCCATTGCAGGGAACTTTTCGCCATGATAAACAATTAAACTTTCTCAGCAAGTATGATAATTTATTGGCAGCAAAATTCAGCTAAGTGCTTTATCATCAAGAAGGTGAAATTTCTTTCCAAAGCAAAACTATGGATGAAGTAACACGTTTTTTCTTTTTTTTCCTCCAAAGAATCCTAAAACCTCTGCTTCTATTGAATTCTAGGTGTATAACCTATAACAATAATGCTTACATATCTGCAATAGATGCTACCAAGAAAAAAAAAACAAACAAACAAGATGTATCACTTTACCAGCTATATTTTCAACCTCCTCAACTTTCACAATATGCACCCCACCCTTTAGTCCACTTTTGAAGGTCCCTAAGCCTCTTCCACCAGCAAGAATTTGACTTTTGACAACCAACTGATGAAATGTAGACAAGTTCAAGTTAATTTTTTTTAAGTTTAAAAACCCAAAAAAGCTATTCCTTTCTTAAACAGAGCTTAAGTGTTCAAGCCAATTCATTTTAAAACAGAAAAGCTATACCTCCTTCTTCTGAGGAAAAACATTCTTGAGAGCCTGCTTCACCTCGTCAACAGATGACACAGCAACACCCTTCGGAACATTTATCCCGTACTTGCTCATCAACTCAGCACCCTGCAGCCAATTATTTAAATTTCAGATATGAAATCACCAAATCAAGAAAACTTACAGCCCATTAAATAATAATAAGAATAAAAGGAACGCGCCTAAATTAAAGATTGAACGTCTCAAGCACACATTTTTCAGAAAACTGAGCCAAATGAAATGAGAACTATAGAAAATACTGAAGGTTGTTTAAAAGAATAACTTCATCCCTTCTACCGAAACTGCTAAGATCGTGCACATATTCATAGCCAAAACCAAATCGAAAAAAAGAGTGAAGAGAGAAATCAACCTGGTACTCATGGATGTTGAGCCGCCTTAGCTGCTGTTGCTGCCATTTTCCGGCCAGCGAGAGCGATTGGGAAAAGAGCTTTCCGAGCGAACCCCTTACCATACTTCTTCAGATCAAATTAGCCAACACAAGAGCAACAAAAAGGCCAAAGAACGATCAAAGAAGCCCTGATCGGTAAGAAAAGGCCAGCCCTAACTTCTGCCCTCTCCACCTCCCTTGAACTTCCTTTTTCCTCTATTTTATTTGTTTATTATTTTGACATTTGCTTTCCACCAAAAAATTTTGGGTGAGAATATTTTATAATCCAAATGGAGGCATTTATTAGGGCTGCTTTTGGGGATCAAACAATAAACCAATCATATTTATAAAACTATTATTTATTTTCAAATAATTAATAATTTTTTGTATTTTTATATGACAATAAAGCAATCACATTTATTTTGCGACAATAAAATCAAACTAAATTTCTACTTCTTATCAGCAATCCAAATATCACATAAATAAAATCTATTGGTTGTTATATTATCTTCAGCCAGTAAAATAACAGAAAGATAAACATGTAGTACAACTGAAGGCAAGTGTAGTAAATCGAAGAAGTGTTTGGAAAGAAGGGAATGAGTAGCTCCATAATCAAATAAAATATGATTGATCATAAATATAATCCATACATGTCACTACATCTTGAGCATCACAAGCTTGTTGTTTGAGTCAGATTGTATACATGTGGTTGAACTGGAGCTAAAACAACAGAGCTACAAAGCTCTCTCTAACCATGGCCAGAAGGTCTACTTGCCACAAAACTAGATCCACTACCTCTACAAGTAGAACTCTTAGTAAAAGTTTGTCTATCTAATCATGCTAGTGGACACTCAACCAACATATGTTCAACATGTCTGCATATATTGATTATTACTGAAGAGGTGTTGGCAATGGGGTGTATCAAAATGGGTTGAAGGACCGAGTTGGGGTCTGACTTGATATTGACTAAACCCGTCATAAAAAGGAAATAAATATGGTCCCATTCTCTATATAAATGAGGATTCAAGATCTAAGAAAACTAAAGAGCTCTATTGCATTTTACAGTTATCACCCATGATGACCACATTTAATATTCGCAACCACTATCTCTTGAATTCTCTCAATATCTAACCCTATTGTTGGATGTTTAATTATCCACTATGGATCTTTAAATTATGTAATCCCTATAATATAAACAGCTAATGGTTTCAAACATAATCACTTCTTCATGGCACCATTAGGAAATTGAGGTATGATTCTGTTATACCAGCATTAGAGGGTGATCAATGTGGGATTCTATAATGATGGGTCTTGGAGGCTACTAAGGTGTGATGCTATTAATGAAGCTATATATGTAGGCTGAGAGTTATTTTGATAAAATGAATATCTATTTATAATTCATTTAGTTTCAGTATAGCTTCCAAAATTATTTAAATGCTTATATGAAGTTTAGTTTCAGTTTTTTCATGTAGTACTCCAATTTATTATTACAACGTAGTATTTTTAGTTTTCTCTTGGTTTGAATTATTAATTTCTATTTTAGGCTACAATAACCTATTGATCCGTGTTAGCTCGCTCCTATTTTTACTTTCATTTTTAGGCCAGGAGAAGGATAAGAAGTGAGCTGTGGTTTGGATAACAGGATTTAATCTGTGCTATAGTTATGCCCTTTTTTTAGTTAATTTTTAGGCTTGACTTTTATTTATTTTTTCTCTATTATCAAGCATTCTTGTAGATAGACTTTAGATTTATATAATTTTTTGATGATATATATAGAAAATCAAATTTGAGATTTAATAGTCTTTCGCTTTATAATATATTTAATAGTGGCTCAACATATTATAATAATTGAAATTTTTATTTCAGTACTTCTCCAACCAGATCTTGGGATTAATCTTGCCATAATAGGATATTGTTTGACCTATGTGATATTATGTTATATTGTGTCGGATTATGACAAGCATTTTCGGTATCATAGCAAGGTTGGAGAAGCAAATCATAACAAAGCCATATGATTTAATCTATGAAAGGGTGAGATGCTTTTGGGTAGTTTTGAATGTTCATTTTATTTCTTTTCATATGCATGTGTAGCATGCAGATGTGTTTAGTGTTTTTGAGATGGTTGATTTTAGCTAGATCCATATATCACCAATTGTAAGAGCTCTATTCATGAAGCTTATGTTCAGGGTACAGCTCCTATGATCAATTCTAAGGTGATTTCTTAGATTACAAGTATAGTAGCACAGTTGATAAGTGAGGGTCATACATAGGTTTTTGGTACCTGTTCTAATGCTATAAATAGATATTTACAAAATTTTATGAGATTATAACCTCCTTGACTTTCAGGTATTATTGAGATTAAAGTAGTTGGGGATTAACTGATGAGGATAGAGAAGACTCTGTATGAGATATATTATCCTTCTAAAAGGGGAGTTGTATTAAATGCATTATAGCGAGATAGAGCACTAGTGGTCATGCAAATACATTGATTAGTTGGGATTGATGAGTTTGTAGAAATATTCAGGACTTGCTTTATACCTCCATTTGTTAGGAGATAATAATAGAACTATTTTCTGAAGTTGCTTTAGGGAAGTATGTAAGCGGTGTAGTATGAGGCAGGGTTTATTTCTCTTTTCAGATTTACTTCACAGTTGGTTAGTACTTATGAGGAAAAGTGTTATAGATTTTTGGAGGGACTCTAAGATACTTTAAGATAGCTATTATTGGCACATGATAGTACATATTTTGCTCAGTTGGTCGACAGGGCCAAGAGGATAGAAATTAGTCTAGTAGTAGTGTAACAATGATGAACTGCGAGCAAGAAAAGATTTTTGGTAATAGTCATTCTGGGAAGAAGAGTAGGTTTGGAATTGTAGAGTTCAGAAGGAGGGGACACTCAATAATAATTTCTTCTGGATTTGATAAATGTAGTGTTGACAGTTTTAGGGGTTCAGTCAATGGGTTCCCATCATTATGTCAGCAATGTGGCAGGAGGTACAATGGATAGTATTATAGAGCATTGGCCTGATATTTTTTTGTGGAATGTACAAACATAGGATTGCTAGTGTCCATATGGTGGCTTTGACAGATGCTCTAATTTGAGAGCTGATAGCTCCGAGGAATAGACAATGGGTAGGCTAAGGACAACATCACCTAAACCATATTTTGAGACTTTTGATAACTAGGATGTTTGTTCGGTATCACGAGGTCAGCCTTCTAGGGGGTTTGTGGGTGCTTGTAGTTCTATTGCTTTGACTCCAATATAACCACGAGTTTATAGTCTGATGTAGTAAAAGGCCAGTGAGTCTGCATATGTTGTAATAGGTATGACTTATATTTCTTTATCCCTTTATCATATTTTATTTGATTCTGGTGTTAACCATTCTTTCATGTTAGAGCATTATTTGATTCTCTAGGTTTGCCTTCCATATCATTATATGTTTCTTCATCTGTGATTTGGCCTACGGGAGATGGAATGATAGTTAGCATGGTTTATTATTATGATTTGGAGTTTTTTGATAGAATATGGAGATCTGGTTTGATTTTACTGCCTATTTTTACATTGAATGTTATTTGGGGAAGGACTGGATGAGTCAGTATGGGGCTTAAATCAATTATTTGGAAAAGAAAGTGACTTTGCCTAGAAATATATAGACTTTGGCGGAAAGATATCCTAACATTTGTAGCATATTCCAAAGATGTAAGAATCTTTTCTACATCTATGAGTAGTTTCCCAGTAGTTCGAGAGTTTCAAGATATCTTCCAAAAGTTAGTGACTTTACCTGCATACAAAGAGGTAGAGTTTTGTATAGATATTTCTTTGGGTACTGCTTTGTATCTAAGGCTCCATATTGAATGTTATTTAATAAGCTTCAAGAGTTGGTGGATCGAGGCTTTATCAGTCCTAGTGTGTCTCCATGGGGAGCACTTATATTATTTGACAAGAAGAAGGATGATACCTCATGGATATGCATCGATTACAAAGATATAAATAATGTAACTACCAAAAATAAGTATCAGTTTCCTAGGATTGATGACTTGTTTGATCAGCTTGCTGGATGTTTAATATTTTTTAAGATCAATCTATGATTTGGTTCATCAACTAAAAGCGAGAGTAGAGGATGTAGCGAAGACTATATTTAGCATGAGGTATGGATATTATGAGTTTTTAATCATGTCATTCAGAGTGACTAATGCCCCAGTGGTCTTTATGAATTTGATGAACATAATTTTTAAGAAGTATCTGGGTCATTTTGTTATAATTTGTATAGACAATATTCTGATTAATTCCAAATCTAAGGACGAGCATGTAACACATTTGAGAACTACTCTAGAGATTCTAAGGCAACATCAGTTATATGTTGAGTTCTCAAAGTGTGAGCTTTGGTTGGGTAGCATTTCATTTTTGGGCCATATCGTGAGTAGTGCATGTATTTTAATAGATCTCTAGAAGATTCAATTAATTCTTATTGGCTAAGGCCTACTATAGTTTTTGATATTTGTAGTTTATTAGGCTTGCTTGGTTATTATTAGAAGTTTATTCAAGGGTTCTTTTTTATTTCTTTTCCTTTGATAAGTCTAACTTATAAGTCAGTAGATTTCATATAGACTCTAAAATATGATGAGAGTTTTCAGTTGCTAAAGAATCATTTGACTTCTGCTCCAATTCTAACTATTCCTTGAGGAACATATGGATTTCAAGTTTTTAGCGGTGCAACATAAATATGTTAGATATATTATCATATTACATAATGTGCCGAAGGTGATTGTATCCGATTATGATGGTCGATTTACCTCCAGGTTATGGAGAAGTATTTAGCAGGGAATGGGTAAAAAATTACACTTTAATTAAAATTTTCATCCGCAGACAGACATATAGATTGAAAGAATTATTCAAGTATTAGAGAATCTCTTGAGACTGTATTCTAGATTTTAGTGGTTATTAGGAGGATCATATCCCACTTATAGAATTTTCATTCAATAACACTTTTCAGTCTAATATAGGTATGGCTTCATATGAAGTCCTATACGATAAGAAGTGTAGAACACCTTTGACTTTAATATATGTGGGGAATAGATAGGTGATAATGTGTACTTTTATAGATGATATTATAATAAAGATAAATCTAATCAAAGAAAGGTTGAGATCTATATAGGATATACGAAGAAGTATTACGATCAAAGACACAAACTAGTGGAATTTCAAGTTGGTGAATTTATTTATATCAAAATTAACCCTATGAAAGGTGTTAGC